GAGAGAGAGAGAGAGAGAGAGAGTGCGCATGTGAGGGAGCCCAAGCAGCAACAACAAAAACCCTTTCGCCTCGCCCGCACATATCATGCGCGATTGTGTTTTGTCTCTCCCTCTCCCTCTGTGTGTGTGCATGTACTCTAATTTCACGCAGAGGGGCATCTAGGCCACACAACAAACCGAAAAAAAAACAAAGCCCAAACGGGCCATCTCTCTAATTTAACTCGTCAATGAGCAAAATGCTCTCGCCGGCGGTTTCCTCAAGACCGCCGCTGCGCTCCGCCTCTATTCGCGGCAGCCGGTACGACGGCAGCCGCTCCGCAATGAGTGCGTGCCGCTTCTCCGCGGCCATCTCCATCCTCGCGACGCGCGTCTCCAGCTGCATCACTTTGGCGTCACGCTCCTCCAGCTGGCACTTGAGCTGCGTGAGGCCCTCCTTCGCCTCCCGCACCTTGCCGGAGAGGGCGTGCCGCTGCTGCAGCTCGGCCTCTACCCGCTGCATCTCCTCCTCGCGGTCCGCGATGTCGCAGCGGAGGCGCATTTCCTCCGCGTCGAGTGCGGCGACACGCTCGCGCTGCGCCCGCCCTTGATTGTCCTTCGCGCCGACCTTCTCGTCCTGCACCGCCTTTCGCTGGGCGAAGCGGTGCCGCTCCTGCTGCAGCTGCTCCTCGCGCCGCTTGCACTCGTCCGAGAGCAGCTGCACGTTCTGCGTCAACTCCTGCAGCATGCGGCGGCGGAGCTCAACGGCCCGCTCCTTCTCCGCGAGGATAGAGGAGCGTGTTTGGTAGTCGCGGAATGCGGCGAAGTCCGCCATTTTCTACAAGCGCCGCAACAGGCAGGCAATACTCAACAGGAAGGCCACTGCGGCAACACAAACGGCTGCCAAGAGCCACACGCACACGAAGTTAAAGACACGAATACAAAAGAAATAAGAAACAAGAAAGACATAGAAGGCAGATGTCAGGGCAAAGAAAGAGGGGGAGAGAGTGACGTGAGTGCGCGGGGCAGGAACAAGAACACTGAGAGACAAAGCACCTCTGGTGAGAGAAGCGCATCCACTCGCACCGATACTCGAAGGGATGGCTACTCCAGACGCAGCAGGCTGTCAATGTACATCATGGTAGGCCACTTGCCACTACGCGCTCCAGCAGGCGATCAATCAGGACGACCTCTTCAACAAGTGGCAGCACATGCCAATGCGAGCGGTCCGGCACCATTTGCATTACCCGCGTCGCGTCCCGCTCGGCCACCTCCACAGCACGGTAGTAGTTGTACACGGAAACAAATACGTCGCTGCCAAGGAATTGCACAGCCATGCCCACGCGCTGTTGCCGCCGCAATGCCAAGGAGGCTTCAAGACTACCCGGTGACGATACCTTCTTATTGCCGCTTCTGCTTCTGCTTCTGCCGTTGCTGCTGCTGACGCTGCGGTTACCAAAGCTGGTGTCGCCATTTCTCCTGTGTGATCGCTCTTGTTGCGACGGGGACGGTGGCGTGCTGTTCGCAAACAGCTGACGACCAAGCGGGGGCTCCTCTGGCACCACTGTTGGGAGCCCCGCGCGTACAGGGGTGTTATAATAGCGCGGGGGAACCGCCGCACCAGAGAACCGTTTCTTGAGATTTGCAGCGTGGCGCCGCCGCATTTGTGCCCGCATCTCGCCTTGCACCAGCTGACGGTACCGCATCACCTCTTCCTCAATGTGTGCCAGCGGCTTGTTGCGCATGTCTTCAACATCGCCGGCGTCCAGGGGCGGTAGGTGCCGTGGCGTGCTGCTGCTGCTATGGCGGCGACGGCTGCCGCTGCCATGGCCACCAGCAACGGGGAGCGAGAAGGCGCTGTCCTCGCCACCAGGCAGTTGTGGCTGCGGCTGCGGCGGCGGCGGCGTGAAGGGGTCGTCACCGAACGTCGAGGTGGCAGGCGAGAGCGGTGCCTCGGAGCGTG